GGGGGGTGGAGGGGTGTTCCGGGCCGCTCGGACGTATTCCGAGGCGGGGCCGGAACCTCTGTGTGCTGTGCCCGAGGGAATGCGATCGCAGCGCCCTAAAGCGGACCCTCGGGCGACGTGAGCACGCTGGCTGCCATGGGGGAGGCGCTCCCGGTGGGGTACGACACTGCTACCTCCTTCCATGGGGCCCCCCGCATGGGGGCGCTCCGTACGATGTCCGTATTGTCGGAGGTACGGGACCCCCGAAAGCGGTCTGGCCACCAGAAGTGGTGGTCAAGGCGTGTGTAGGGGGCGAGAGGCCTGTGCCGGCGATGGTTATTCCGCCGACCCGAGCCATATGTCGTTCTTCTGGGGGAACTCGGAGGTTCCCCCCCTCCGGTGGGATGCGGGCACGCCCGGGCTACGGAGCCGTACGGAGTGGTGGGTTATCAACCAAAATGAGCGACTCTATTAATAATAAAATCCAAACGGATCTGGACCAAATGACGACGACCCTGATAATGTCGAAGGAAACGAATGAGCTGAGTGCTCCCTGCAGCTCTCAAAGAGAGGAAGCGGCAAAGAAGGCCGCTGAATGCCAGCCTGGCCCCAGCCGGCAAGTGGCAAAAAGAGGTGGGCTGAGGAGCTCATCTCTCGAAATGCCACGGGGCAGAAGACGTACGCGCTACAACATTCGAAGCGCGGCGGAAAAGGCGGACCTCTCTAGGTCCAGATCGAGATCTAGGAACAGAGGTGCTAATTCCTCCTCCGGATCATCTACTCCAATTTACGTAAGTTGTGAGAGGGAGGAGAAGGCACCCAAACCAGTACCTAGCAAATTTGATATCCCCTTGAACACCGATGGGGAAACGGATGAGAAGGCCTTCGCGGAGATGGGTCCCCGTCGGAGGGGAAGACCCGTTACGACAGGAGAGTACGCGGAAAAAAAGATCTTACAGGCGGAGAAAGATGACTTCCTCAAGAAGAAAAGGAGGAAGATTTAATCTCCGCCATGAAGAACCCGACCGAGTCGCTTGCGGACCTGTATAACAACCGCAAATATAAGAAAAAAATAAGGAGGATGACAGAGCACCTCGTGAATACTCCACTAAACGATGTTACCGCATCAGTCCTGAATGCGGCCACTCAGGTGTTGGGCATTGCAGTACGTTCCAATAATCTGAAAGGAACATACGTCAAAGTATTACGAGATGCTGCAGCGGCCATAGCCGTAGAGACAACATTGATGTCCAAAAGAATGGTAATGGGAGAAAACGGTGAGAACTTGGAACTCCTAGAAAAACTACAGGAAGAAAACCAGAAGCTCAGGGCATTGCAAGAAGAGATGAAGAAGGAGATAGATGGCCTAAAAAACTCTCTTCGGGCCATCAAAGAGGCACCACCACGAGTGCCGATAATCCCTGCACCCCCAGTATATGTGAAGCAGGAGGAAATGAAGGGGCCCTTAAGGGAAAGGGCAATGCCTCTAGCCGCAGACATGGACATAGACGAAGTAGTGCAGGAGAGAGTGGGGTGTATTGAAGTACAACAAGGGGCTATCATCCACCCCATAGGAACGAAGAAAGAGGTGGCTAAGACTGCGGCAAAAGGCAAACCCAATATCAGGGTAAAGGAGAACATCCTCTTGAATAGTAAAATAAGGATAGAAGATCAAGGGGACCAGGGAAAACAGGTTGCACCAGGGGAAAGAAAAGAGGAATCCCTAGAAGAAAGAGTCACGCATATGGTGGCGGAGGCGATGAATAGGTGGACGGCATCGCAGAAAGAGGGAAAGCAGATAGGAGCACCACCGGGAATAATTGCCGGAAAACCCTTACCTCAGAGGAAGAAGAAGGGAAAGGAGGGGGAGCAAAAGTAGGATCTGGCAATCCATCGGTTGGATAATTGCAGGGGGAGAAACCTGGGTCCCAATCCCAGCAGGCACCGTCACCCCTATCAGAAAGGGAATTGCCACCGCTGCCAAAGAGGGAATCAAGAGCGGAGAGCAGGGTGCAAAAGGAAAAATGGACAAAGGTAATGGGACGGAAGGAAAGGAGAAAGGAAAGAAGGGAAGAGGGGAAGAAGCAAACACAACAGCCAGTAAAAAAGGAAAGGGAAAAAGGAGTAGCAAGGAAGAGGACTAAGAGGAGAGTCCCGAATACAGCGGCAGTGTCGATAACGGCAGAGAAGGGACAGTACAAGGAGTTAATGGAAGCCAAGAAGAAGATTGACATTAACAACCTAGGGATCACCAAAATCAGGACCAGGCAGGGTGCCACTGGAGCCCTGATCCTAGAGATCCCAGGGTAAAACAGAAGCACACAGGCGGATCTCCTAGCTGGAAAGCTGAAGGAGGTGCTGGCTGATAGGACGAGGATAAATTGCCCCCAAAAACTGGGGGAGATCAAGTTAAGAGGAATGGAGATATCAACAACGGAGAATGAGGTGGCAGAAGGGGTTGCGAAGGAAGGAGGATGCAACACGACGGAAGTGAAAACGGGAAGGATAAAGGAGACGATGACGGGCACCAGATCTGTATAGGTACAGTGCCCCCTTGCGGCAGCAAAAAAGGTTGCCGAAAGGGGGGTACTGACCATCGGATGGGCACAGGTAAAGGCTAAATTACTGGATGCAAGGCCCTTACAGTGTTATAAGTGCCTACAAAGGGGGCACGTACAGGGCAATTGTAGCAGTGACGTAGATAGACGACAGAATTGCTATAGGTGTGATGAAGAGGGGCACCTGGCCCGAGATTGTGACGTCCCAACCAGGTGTTAGATCTGCGCTGTAGCAGGATAACCGGCGGGACACAGGATGGGGGGACCTGCTTGCAACCCTCCTAAAGGGAAACGGAGGAGAGGGCAGAGGGACGCGGAGGCACCCGCACCAGCGCCATCCGTACCCTCTGCCCCCTCGATGGAGTCGAGAAGAGGAGTCCTCACCCCCCTCGCCGCCCCCGCAGACTCCTGCTTCAGAAACCCAACAGGGGGAGGGGGAGAACATGGATGTTGAGAGGAGAGGGGAGAAACGCATTCGCCAGAAAGTGGAGGATGACAGTGATGGAATGGAAGCGCCGGGGGAAAAAGTCACAATCATCGAACAATAATGGCTACCCGGCTCCTCCAATCCAATCTGCACCGCGCCCGTCAATCTATGCCGCTCTTGGAGCATATCATAGCGGAGCGCGGTGCGGGATTGGGAATAGCTGCGGAGCCCCACCATGTCCCCAGAAACCATCCTAGGTGGTTTGGGGGTGAATTGGATTCCGTAGCTATTGTATGGAGAGCAACGGAAAACTCCCCTCACGCAACTCAGTTAGGAAAAGAGAGGGGATTCGTAGTGGCCAGATGGCGGGCCCTGATCGTGGTCGGGGTCTACCTTCCCCCTACAAAGAGCCTGGGCCTACTCTACTATAGATCCAGGCTCTAAGATATAGGGAGGGCCGTGAAACGGTACCTCCCGGGGTCCGTCATCACCGCCGGTGACTTCAATGCGAAGTCGGAGTTGTGGGGTTCCCGGCGGGGTGACGGAAGGGGGGAGGTAATCGAGGACTGGGCCGCAGAGCTGGGCCTGCACCTCTTGAACGAAGGGAATAAATCAACCTTTGTTGGGTCGCAGGGGAATTCTATCATCGATCTCTCGTGGGCAACCCCTGCGGCCAGAGAGCGGGTGCAGGCTTGAAGGGTGGCGGACGATCTGGAAGCTCTGTCAGACCATCACTTGATAGAGATGGATCTGTCCGTCACCCCCAACGGCCTGCAGTCCAGAAAAATAGAGAAGTCCCGACCAGGGCGATGGGCCCTAAACCAGCTGGATAGAGAGGCGCTGAAAATCGCTCTAGAGGCGGCCATCTGGCCACAACGGATGGAAGGGCAGGACCTGGACTCTGGGGTCATGGATATCATGGAGGTGATCACGCGTGCGTGTGACGCAGCCATATCCAGGGTCAGGTCCTGCCCAAAAAGGTCCGCCTGGTGGTGGACGGACGATATTGCCTGCTTCAGACAAACTTCAGTTCGCTTCAGGCGGGCCTTTAGGAGGGTCAAGAATGACCCCGACTCAGACCCCGAGGCCGTCCTGGCCGCCCGTAAGGATTTCTGTAAGGCAGCAGCGGCGCTGCGAAATGCCATTGGGGCAACCAGGGGAAAAGAGTGGGACACCCTCCTCCAGTCGCTAGACGCGGATCCATGGGTGCGTCCATACAAGATGGCTATGCAAAAGTTGAAGCCATGGACGGCCCCGTTAACGGAAACGCTAGACCTCTGGTCCTTGGAACGGGTCATGGGGACCCTCTTCCTGATTAGGGAGGGAGACTCCATTGGCCCGTACAGTGTCCCTACCCCCGGACAATAAGGGGGGGTACCGGGGATCACCGAGGAGGAGATGGCCGGGGCCGCAAAAAAGGTCAAAAGCCGCAAGGCCCCAGGAACGGACGGTATTCCCGGCCGCGTCCTAACCCTGGCCTCGGGGTACCTGAATAAGAGGTTTGCGGAGTTGTTCTCTCAAGCCCTGAGGGAAGGTAGGTTCCTCCCAGTCTGGGGGAGGGCCAATGTGATCCTCCTCCGAAAAGAGGGCAAACCGAAGGACTCCCCTTTCGTGTACCGCCTCATATGTCTCCTTGATGAGGCGGGCAAACTCTTTGAACGTGTGATTGCAGCCCGTCTCACGGAGCATATGGCCCGGGAAGGCCCGAATCTCGATGACGGCCAATATGGCTTCCGGGAGGGAAGGTCAACAGTAGATGCGATCCTGCACCTACGTACCCTCTCGAAGGCCATCATGCAGAGGGGCGGGGTGGCGGTTGCTGTATCCTAGGATATAGCAAACGCTTTCAACACCCTGCCCTGGAGTAGGGTGGTGGAGGCAATGAGGAACTATTTCCGCTTCCCACCCTACCTCGTGGCCATCATCGAGGATTACTTCCGGGGCCGGCGCCTGAGCTGGAAGGACGCCGACAGCAAAGTGCGCGAGAGGGGGATGAATTGCGGGGTTCCACAGGGGTCTGTCTTGGGTCCCCTGCTATGGAACCTCGGATACAACTCAGTCCTCCGAGTATCACTCCCCCCGGCAGTAGCATGATATGCTACGCTGATGACACGCTCATACTGGCCGGGGGGAACGACTGGGGGGATGCCTTGCGAGAGGCCAACATCGCGGTGGCATGTGCTGTACGTGCCATCCGTAGTCTGGATCTGGCAGTGGCTGAAAGGAAAACGGAAACGATTTTCCTATATAAGAAGAAGAAGGGGATGAAGCCACCCCAGGCCCAGATACGGATGGGGACTGTCAGGGTCCCGATAGAGGCCCAGATGAAATATCTGGGCCTCACTTTGGACGGCACCTTGTGCTTCAAGGAGCATATAAGCCGTCTGGTCCCCCGATTGAGGGCGGTTTCGGCCAACTTGTGCAAGTTAATGCCCAATATCAGGGGACCGGACAGAAAGGCTCGTCACCTCCACACTGGGATACTTAATTCAGTGGCGCTGTATGGAGCGCCGGTATGGCCTGAGGCTCTGGTCGCTAGCCGTCCACTGCAAGCGCTCTTGCGTAGAGCGCACAGGGCGGTGGCAGTCAGAGTCATTAGAGGATATAGGACGGTATCCCACGTGGCAGCGACGGTCTTGGCGGGCATGCCTCCCTTGGAGCTCCTTGCCCTGATGTACCGTAACATATACATGAGGAGGGGGGAGCTCATGAGAACAAGGGATGCAAGTCAGACGCTCGCCGGGGTTATACAGCGGATGAAGCACCAGGCTCGACAGCTCCTCCTCTGGAGACGGCAAAGACCCCAGGAGAACACCAGATACGGGAGGAGGACTGTCGAGGCCGTCCACCCTTGTCTGCAGGAGTGGGTGAACAGGGGATTCGGGACCCTGACATTCAAGATGACACATGTGCTCATCGGACATGGATGTTTCGGTGAGTACCTGTGTCGAATGGGCAAGGAAAGTACAGCGCATTGCCACCAATCCGATGTTGATCACGACTCCGCGCAAGACTTCCCGGCATGGGCTGCCGAGCGCGGAGTCGTGATCCGGGAATTGGGACACGATCTCTTCCTCCCCACGATAGTGAACGCAATCATGGGGAGCGAGAGAAAGTGGGGTATATTCGCCTCCTTCTGTGAGGCAGTCATCTTGCAGAAGGAAGCCGCGGAGGAGACACGCCGGTAGGCGGAAGGCCGAGGTCGGAAGCAAAAAAGACGACAGCAGCTCCGACTTTGGTGCGGATCGAGGAGAAGGAGCAGGGAGGGGGATGCGGATTCCTCTGCGGAAGAGGCTGTCAGAATGATGAGGATACTAGCACCCCCTCCCCCTCGTATAACATCTCCCCCGCCACAGCGGAAAAGAAGGGCACCCATGTCAGGACGCGGTGCCCCCCCCCCGGAAAATAGTGAAACGAGGGCGGGTGCAACGACCCGCACTAGCAGGAATGGTGGCAGGAGCGGCGCAGCCGTCTGCTGCACCATTTATTGCAGCGAGAAGAGCAGGAAGGGGGTGGAGCATTCACCCCCAACCGACCGCCGGCCCTGAGGACAGGGGTCGGATGAAGGTAAGGGGGGGAGTGTGAGGCGATAATAGCCAACAACCACCTCTCCCCCTACCCAAAGCCTACAATAAGGTAGGCGTGAAGGGAGAGGTTTTCTAACCCCGCCCCACTTCTTAGAGGCGGGTATGCTCGGCGGCTAGGGGATAAGATTTTGTCGAGGAGGGAATACGGGAGTTGTTCCCCTGACTCCTCCCACCACGGTCCGGTTGGTAGACATCCTGCAGGAGTTATAGTCAGTAGGAGTCTGACATAACCCCCGACCCCCCAAAATGGTCGGGGGTATCCATGATGGATTTCCCCTGCGTTACCAAAAAAAAAGGGTTTTCTCCCCGTAACCGCCGGGCAGGAGGGTGGGGTGCTGGGCGAGGATTCCCAGCACCTCCTCAATCAACCCCTCCAAACGAACTGGCGACTGGCTGAGAAGGTGGATCAGCCAGCCGCACATCATCTTGTTGGCGGCGTCCCGCCTGGCTGGGAACGGTAGTTGAATCGCAGACCTTTTGGCCGGCATCCCTCTTCTCAGCCAAAAAAGCGGGGCGTGAGGGTTGAGAAGAGGGAGCGGTGATTGAAGCGATCCTTGGATCGCTTCCCCTCTCCCCCTGGGGGAGCGGCGGTCGAAGATGAGCCCCGGTTCGCTTCCCCCTCCCCCACCCACCCCTCGGGGAAGACGATGATAGTCTATCTAGACTCGGGGCCCCAATCGCAGTTACGTAGGCACTGGGGCCCCGATCCAAGTCCTTTCGCAGCGCCACCCGGAGAGGTTTTAGCCGGTAGGAGTCCGGCATAACCTTGATCCTTCCCCGAGGATCAGAGTATCCATGATGGATTTCCTCTTCGTCAAAAAAAAAAAGAGCTGTGTAGGTAGCGATTGTGAACACGCTTGTCGCTCAGTTCAGCCCGCGTCGATCGATGCTTAACCTAACTTTTCTTGACAGTTAGATATCGCTTATCTTATGCAAGTGTATTCTACATGTATTCATACATTAATCGCAAAAAGTATGAGTTATATTTATTATTATTATCCAAGAAATATTATTCTGTTATTATTATTAGTTATTATTATAGTTGCATTTAAAGATTTGATTAAATATGTGCACTAAAAAGTTACAGACAGAAAATTATTTTTAATTTTCTAACGTAATAGCACTACACAGTGGTTACTCATTATTTATTGATAAACTTGCTATCACCATTACTAATTCTACAAAATACTTGCTACCACTCTAGTAATTTAAAGAGGGAATGAGCTTCTGTAGGGAGTAGTGAGTTTGTACCGTTAGTGATAGTAAGTAACCACTGCGTAGTATTGTTACGTTATAGAAGGTTGAAAGTTATTTTTTGTCTATAATTATTTAGTAAAGACATTAGTCACTTTAAATATAACTGTAACAATAACTTAATTATATTTTTTGGTTAATAGTATAATATAATTAAAACTTTTATGGTTATACATGTATGTAGAATAAAAATATATGAGGTAAGCGATATCTACCTGTCAAGAACAAGATCTTCAAAATTTGCTATCACCACTACTAATTCTGCAAGAACTATTTATCAACACTCTGATAATTTAAGGAGTATTATAGGAAGTATTGAATTGATATCGATGAGATTTTTATCAAGTTTGGAAAATCCTTTTCTGGACAGGTTAATGTCGCTTACTTTATGCACATGCATTCTATGTGCAGTTACAAGGTAATCACAAGTTTTAATTATATTATACTATTAATAAAAAATTGTGTGGTTTACTTGTGAAACATGTAGAATATATGTGCAAGAGGTAAGCGACATTGAATTGTCAAGAAAAGGATCTTCAAAACTTGGGTTAAACATTACCAACTCAATACTATTTTAATAATTTAAATAATGTAAAAACTACTTGTTACCACTCTGGTAATTTAAGCAATAATGAATCTATAGGAGGTTGTCAATTAATGTCGCAAAAAAATTTTTATGGTCAAAACAAAAAAGAAAAGAAAGCACAACTTAACGCTCTGTAACATAGGGGATTAAAATAACGCTGTAATATAGACAACTAAAATTTATTGCAGTCTTATATTGTCTCCTAAATGTAATATCACAAGGCAAAGTGTCTACAAGAAGTTGTCAACGTCGCAAAAAAAATTTATATTACTCCATTGATTAAACCCTATTCTAAACACCATCGAAAGTATGATTACCACCTAAGCAAAATACAATTTTTTTTCTTTTATGTTCCGTTTTCTGTCGAAGCTTAATAATCATTGCATTTTCGATGGTGTTTAAAATAAAATCTATATATACAACAGGAAACCTATTCATACAACAGAAAACGGAACATCAAAGAAAAAAAATTATATTTTTTTAAATGGTAATCATACTTTTGATCAATGTTAATGTGATAAATCTTTATTCGAAAGAGAGAGACAATAAGTCTCTGTCTCTCTCTTTCGAATAGAGATTGTTGCTACGCGTGCAGTCTCTCCAACATTGGAACACTGCTTTCAATGATTAATTAACAACTTCATGTAGACATTTTGACTTGTGATGTTAGAAATTGAACATTTGAATTCATTTGTTTATACTTTCCTGTTGTATATGTAAGTCCTATTTTAAACACCATCTAAAGTATGATGATTATTGAGTCTTGACAGTTTGTCTATCATCAATTACAATTACAAAAAGACACGCGCTAAGTGCATATGAGAGCGAAGCGATTTTATATGTGAAATACTTAGATCCATTTTTAACTTAGGTACGCATCAGTTAATATTAATATTTGTATTTAATAATTAATATTTGTAATTAATATTAATATTTGTCATCTAAAACTTGTCTACTTATTTATAAAATAATCAGATAATTATTTTAAGTTTGATTTAAATATTTCAGTTAAATGATGTAACGACATAAAAATCTTTTTATGTCGTTACGCTGACTGCCGCCGCGACATAAGTCAGTAGACGTACACCCTCCGACCCGCGCCGTCACCGCGCCTCACGCAGCACTCAACCGAGCCTGCCCGAACACCCGGCAGCGACGCTCGGGAACGATCGGCCGCCAAGCCGAGCTCGCGGCGCCGCCGAAAAAATCTTCGGCAAGCGCCGCATAACCACGATTAATTCCGATTAAATTCAGAATTATCGCCGATTAATATCCGGAGAAGACCGAAGTTAAGAAATCTCGGGTATAAAATCCCGGCAGATTTCTGACGAGGGGGAGTCTCCAGAGTTCCGCCTCAGCAGATAGTTCTTTCCCAGAGAGGATCAAAATAATCAACCGAGAAGCTCCTGCAGAACACGATTCCGGAGAGGTAAGGGCCCGACAGCGTAGGACTTCGCCCATCGACCGTGAATTCTGACCACATGACCGGCCATCGGCGCCTGCCGCCCCAACATATCTGGCATCATCCACGGCGTTTCACCCTCCTCATCAAGGAGGCAACAATATGCCGTTTGATATCCGCTTCGCCTATAGGAGATTCATAAAGGAACACGCGTGTCGTCCTCATCCCTCGCCTCACCGACGCAATCCGACGCTTAGGCGCCGCGTAAGAAAGAGCGCGACGTGCCGCGACGCGTTTTTATGTGTTCTTGCGACCCGTCGTCGAGACTCGTGCCGAAAGGCACGGCCTTTTAAATCTCGGCGAAGACGCAAGCAGCACACGTCTCGGATTTCCCGATTCCGCGAGTCGTTCGAAACTCCATTGCACACCAAGCTACCGATAATTTGCGCCCATATATTTATTTTTTGTATATTTCACACATTTCGACGTGCGTAATATTATTTAATTGTACGGCGAGCAAATTCCTCGCTCGCGGCTGCTACCACGCGTAGTCACAGCGACGACAGCGAGACAAAGTTGCGTGACAAAAAGAACACCCAAACATTGGGACACCGCGCCACAACACGCGGTCGTAGCGTGCGTCGCGAGAAGAGACGAATAAAGATTTCTTGTTCTATACCTACTCTAATACGATTATTGACACGCACATACCTTCGCCCAAAAATCTTTCCTGTGCTCGAATCGCAGACAACGATCCGACACATAGGGCCGGATCGACCCGAAAAAACCGAACCCGGAGGCGCGACCGTTACAATGATATATATGTGACATTCATATATTTGTAACAGCGTTTTGATTGAAGAACCGAGTTAACCAATTAAACCGTTCCACTAGGACAAGTGCGTTGTACATCGTGCGTTGTGTCGTCCCAATGGGCCATATTCGTAGTCCGGTCTTATATTTAAGATCGTCTTAAGTTTACGTTCATTACTCAAAAACTACTTGTTACCACTCTGCTAATTTAATTAATTTACTAGGTGCGCAACTAAGTTTCCAGGTTTCATACATGGATGGCGCTAACGACACATATAGTCGACATACATGTCTGAAGTTGTGTTTTTTTTATAGCTTGGACATCTGTTAACAATAACCAGTCGTAATACCAACACATACAACGCAACGCAAAATTATTTTTTCTAACAACGAAGTTGCCGAGTTTTATGCCAAATAAACAGCATTTGCGGGAAGCTTTGCTTTTCTGCTTTAACTTGAAAAAAAGTGCAGCTGAAGTACGTGGTTTGCTTGAGGAGGCCTACGGCGAACATTGAACCATCGAAAACTATCTGTGAAGATTGGTTT